CCCAGAGCATCTTAATGTATCAGCATCCCCACACTTAAAAATGGTGGCAGGGTCAGCTTAACTAAAGATACTTCAACTCGCTCAAAAGTGGCTTGGGGAGGCGGCTGCACAAAATGCTGGAGTGTGGTATTTACCACTCTCCAGCAAACTCGATTAATCAAGTCTACTCCAACGTGCTATAATTATAGCACATCGAAGCAGCCTCACTGAATGTGTATAGGCACCTTCAGATCCCAAGAGATTCAGTTTCTCCTTAATCCAGCCGAAGAGTCGAGTTCTTAACATGGTGCAGCACTGCAGGCTCCTGAATATTCAGTTCCTCGGCTTTGAAACTGACCAGTCAAACTGTTGAGATTATTTTTTCTGGGAGCTAAAAGAGCTTTGTTTGTGAAAGTAGGCCCCACTTTAAATGTAGGGCAGGGAAATAGTAGATTGTTATGACCTGCATAGCTACTGGCAATTCCATAGCATGGAAAACTAATGGGCCAAGATGGCAAACATGAAAATGGCTGGAATGCTTTCTGCCACAATCCTTGTGCTGCTGCTTTCTGTCCAGAAAGGGCGTGTGTAATTCCCTTTATTGAAAAAAGTCTTCAGGCACTTTTGCTTTAACTGTAGTTAACTACAGAGATTATGTTTCTGTAGTGAGTACAGTAAAGTCAGGTCTGCTTCTCAGTTTGCCAGGAGTCGGTAATAAATAACCTCCTATGAGAAATTGGAAACTGGATTCCTCTGAACCTAAAGCCCTTCTGGAAGATTAATCTGCCATGTAATGGTAGTCTCTTAATACTGTAAGGGGTGGGGGATAGGAAGCCCATTCTCTGTCTTTAGAAATCTAAAATTGCCTCTTTACCATTTAAAGATCTGGTAGGGTATTCATGTTGGCTAATTCACTTTGACTACCAGGTATTTCTCTCTCTCGTTAGTAAATTTTATAAGCTCACAGCATCAAACTGGATTTACCAAATATATGACTGGCTTATTTTAAAATTCATGTGTATGTTGTTATATGGGTGCATTAGCAGAACAGGTAGGAGATTTTTGGGGAACAGATTTAAGCCTCAGACTTATACTGACAAGATTAAGATTTAAATTGAGTTTGATAACTTGGGAAAATAACCTGAAATACATAGGATGCATTTTTCAGTAAGCACAGCTATGAAGTCCTGTACTTGGGAAGACATGATCAAATGCACAAATACAAAATGGGAAATGTTTGGCTAGGCTCCAGCACTGCAGACCAGACCTGGAGGGTACGTTGGACCTCGAACTGGAAGTAATTCAGCAGCCCGATTATTATTGCGTAAAAGCTAATGGCCTAGTGCATAGTGTTAACAGGAGTATTTAATGCAAGTCATGGGAAGTAATGCTTCTGCTCTCTTGGCCCATGAAACCATGTGATCCAGCCCATGGTTCTCAAACTGACTCTGCACACTACATTTTGGTTGGAGGAGGGGTGTGGGTTTGGTGCTGATCTGGATTGGGCCGTGTGGGAACTAGTGCACAGAACTGGTCTAACAGGCTGCAAAATTCAATGTGTTCCCTGTGCCTCCTGCAGCATGTACGGCGGGTCCAGCCCACATGCAGCATGCATCTTGTGCTTCAGGTGGCACATGGGCTGGACCAGGTGCTGCAAGCACTGCATGGGAAACTGGCATGGGGCATGCCCTGGAGGCTGCTCCCTGGTAGATTGGCCCTACGTGCTGGCTTCAGTATGGTCTGATCCAGGCCAGCCCCAGAACCAGTACTGGGGGGAGGGGGGGTGTGTGAATTGCAGCTCCTATGCTGGCCCCCTGTGCAGAGTGAGCCCTGGAGTGGGATGGGCACTTGCTGCATGCAGCACAGGGGGCTAGCTTAGGTTGTGTGCTGCATGCTGAGAGCCACTGGACCAGGCCTGGGTGCTGGCTCCCAGGGTGCCCTAGTTCAGCCTGCAGACCAGCTGGCCAGTCAGCAATATAGAGCCTTCAGCCGTGCAAGATTGACACCCCTGGTCTAGATGACTTGATTTGAGGAAAGATTTATAAGTACTGGGATTATTTAGGCCAGATAAGAGATACTTGACATTAATATGGAAAGGATTCCTACTCCCCTGCCAAAAAAAAAAAAAAAAAAGCAATCAGTTGTTCTGTGACTGCAGCAGGCAGGCTGAGAAGTAATGTTCATATTTTGAAGCAAGAAAGACTTGCAGGGGGTTAACAGTGTTTTGCCACCACCTGCCATAGCTTGTGACCCATCCCTGCCCTGGCCTTCTCCCCAAGGACTGCACCCCTGAAACCTACCTGGCGATCCAGTTTCTGCAAAGGGGATGGATAGAAAAGGGCCAGTGCTAGGACCGTGGGAAAGCTGGCCATACTGCACCAGCGAATACACTGAATGTGGCAACCAATAAGATCCTGGATTTTGCCACTGTTGTGGCTAGAGCCTACTGCTGATTCCCTGAGCTGCTGCAGGTTGGATCCAGTCCTGTCCTGAGCCAAATCTGACCCATAGGCCATAGGTTGCCAACCCCTGACTTAGTTAGGCTGGTATGAGGAACAGTTGTCTGTGTGTAGTTAAGTACTGTATTTGATTATTTGGAGAAAGTATAGCATTTTCATCATTGGATGTATAAGTGCAGGATAGGCAGCCTTTGTCTCGGATCGTTGTGACGTAGGGTATGTACAAATATACACTTGGAAGAGTTTGTGAAAGGGAGTGTGTAGCATCTGTCATGCTCATTCCATTGTCCCCCATGGATCTGATCCTGTTGCCCAAGGGGTGTGTGGCCCTTGGCCACTTAGAATTTGGAGAGCTCTGAAGTAAGAGAATCAAAGGTATCTGGTTGTGGTGCTAGCCACACTCCCATTAATGCCCTTGTGCACAAATACTGGTATGTCTAACCCCTGCTGGCCTTCTAGGCTTGGGGCAGAACTGGGTCTTGGACTTGTATATTTTCCCTCCTGCTAGGAACAGTTATAAAACTGGGATTAAAGAAAGGTCAAGGAAGGTGTAAAATTCTTTCCCAAGTAATTTTTATGCAGGTGACTTGCTCTAAATCCCTTATTTTGTGTCTAACAAGTAACCAGGGGTCTTCAGTTTAGCACAAGGAGAATTTTAAATAGATCTGGTAGGTAAAAGATGTTCATCTGTTCAGTCTTGTCTTCCCCAAGGTATTACATAATTAACCAGTGACAGTCATCACTATATAACATTGTTACTATCCAGAGCCTAGCGGAAATTAATACTGTATTTACTTGAATCTGAGTTGACCCTGAATTTTAGTACTCTTCCCCTTCCCCCCCCTTGCAATAATTAGATTCTATATATGGACAATTTTATAGATTTATTATTTCTTTCCAGGTAAAGAATCCTAATTATTGGAGGGTTGTCTTGAATTTGTGCCCTCCCCCCCATGAAGCAGGGAAAGCAGTGGTGAGGGGGTGGTCAGGTGGCCCCCTTGCCATCTGCCCTTCCCCACTTCTCCCTGCAGCCTTGCTGCCCCCTTTGCAACTTGCACCCCCCATACTTCCCTCCAGTCTTGGTCTGCTCCAGGCCCCTTCCTTCCCTTCTCCCCATACCAATAGGGCTTGTAAACAAACTTTGAACAGGGTATGCCATAAACCCAATATAGAGTCTTGTACTTCTAAAGTGTCTGGCATATCTAGTGACGGAGGTAGGATCCTGGTCAAGGGTCTAATGTAGAATTGGCAATATGCAAGACACAGGTGATATTTTTATTTTCAATCTTTCAGTGACCAGTCTGTCATTTGGCCCATCTCTGTTATACTAATGAGCTTTCAAAAAGTGTGTGGGGCAATAGAATATTGTAGTGAAACAAGCTGCATTGCTTGTTGAAAGCACATGGCTAACACAATTGGGCATCATGCATGTGTGAAAACAGGATGTCACAGGTAAATTCTGTAGAAATAACTAGATGCCTGTAGAAATAACTAAAATATTTGCTATATGGCCATTTTGTATTCTTAGTACTAAAGCTTTCATATTACTGACCATAGTATAAGGGATAAATAATTCAGTCAGATTTTCAGAAGTAAAGCTGGCTGTTGTACATAGAGAGATGGCAATTTCAGTTCACGCTTATCAGAGGAGTTGGATAGTAACGGTATGTTCAAGCTGTTCAGAGAAAGATAAGTTTTATATATGGAATTAATGCTTTTCTGACTTTTTCTCTAGTGCATTGCATTTCATGATATTTCACCTCAAGCTCCAGTACACTTCCTAGTAGTTCCTAAGAAGCCAATTGTCCAGTTATCTGAAGCACAAGATTCAGATGAATCTGTAAGTATTATGAATTCTGTCTAAAACTTTGAGTGGTTCAAAATCTATCAGAATAATGCAAAAACTATTGCATCATTAAGGCAAGGATGTTAGCTGGCTGGTATGCCACGTGCTCTGGTTTTGCCTTGCTTCTTACAGATTGCTGCTTTGCACCTAGATTCCATTCACACATTATTCCACATCACCAAAAACACATGAGAAAGGAAAGGAATATATAGGTTTTGCATAGGAGTCAGATGAAACTACTGTAGGAAACCCTATCAGAACTTGTTTCATGGTAGCCCATTATAGGCCATATACAGATGTTCTGTTTCTATTGGAATAATTGCTACTCTTCTATTAGAAATCAGCAGCATACAAATGTTCTAGCTTTTTCTTTCAGAGCAAAAATGGTAGTTCCAGGAGAAAAATAACCTGACTACAACAAGATGAAAAACAATCCCACGAGAGGTTCTCCCAGGAGAATGAATGTCTGCACGCTTGCCTAATTCTTCCTGGGGACCAGGAGTGGAGCTGCTGGAGAAAGGGGTGACCCCAGTCTTCAAAAGGCATGGGAACCTGTCTGGAGAAGGCATAGGGCAGTACTCCTGCCTCTCCCATAGACAGGGAGGGGAGGAGCAACCACCAGCTGCTCCCAACCTGCTTTTTGCTCCAGAGGATGCAAAGTGAGAAGTGAGAGAGAGAGGTGGTCCTGCTGTTCCCACAGTTCTGCTTCCTGAGACTGGAAGCAGAGCCGAGTAGCAGCTGCTCACCACTCCACAGGCTATGGTCTTCATTGTTGTTTGCTTTGTTGTTCCCTGCCTCTTTCCCCAAACTAGACACCGCCTTGCTTGAGGAAGGGGCTGGGGGCTTTGCTTCATTGCTCCCCTTCCCGCAGAAATTTCCACCAGTAGAAATGATCATCTGTTTGTGGCCGTAATAGTATAAAGTAAACAGAATTTCGAAGTGTGAAAGAAGGGACTTGCCTTTTTATTTGAGATTTACCATGTTTTTGAAACAAAGACCATAAATAGGGGTGCACCGACAGAGATTTTGGAGGCTGATACAAATAGCCGATTTTTAAGGAAGCAAATTGGCCAATACCAATCCGATTTCCAGTACAGCTGTGTGCAGCTGGTAAGTGTTGTGCTGGATGGGGAGGGAAGGGGCAGGTCTGCCCAGCTGGGGTGGGGTGCAGGATGGAGCCGCAGCGCATGGAGGGTGGGGGCAGCTCCTGCCACTGCACGCACCCTGGAGGGCACTGTATGTCCCCCAGATCTGCATGGGGTAGCTGTGGGCTGGAGCCAGGGCTGCACTGAGCTCTTCGTGGCGGGGGCTACGGAGGGGGCTGCAGCTGGGGCTGCAGGCGTGTGGCGGCAGCACTGGGAGCGGGGCTACATGGGGCGGCTACGGTAAAATTTGGGGTGGCTGCAACCCCCTTCATAGCCCCCTCCCCGAGCCCAGCCCCTGCCAAGAAGAGCCTGGTGCAACCCCAGCTACAACCCATCTCATGCAGATCTGGGGGGGCACATGTTTTCCCCCCCCCACGGGCTACCAGGGTGCGTGCAGCAGCAAGTGCCGCCCCCCCTCCAATGAGCCATGGCTCTGTCCTGCACCCTGCTTCACCCCAGCTGGGCAGCTCCTGCCCCTGCCCTCTCTCCCTCACCGCTGGAGGCATTGATCTGCTCCTCCCATGTCCCTTCCCTTTCCCCTCACCATCCAGAACAATGGACTTAACAGCTGGGCTGTGATCCTCCCTGCCTGCCTGCTGCATTGCAGCTGTGTGCATGCAGCGGTATTTATCGGCTGCATGAAGCTGATTTCTGATGCAGCCAACTTTCTTTATATTGGTACCAATCTGATATCGGACTGATGCATCAGTGCATCTCTAACCATAAACTTGTTCAGGTTTTCATGGAAGTAATGTATTTTAGTCTTGGGTAGGGATCAACTCTTAGAATGTTTTTCTAGAATACGAGTATATTGATTAACTTAAGGCTGTTGTTTAAAGAACCCTGAGGAATACAGTGAGGTTTTAAAACGCATACACAAACAAGCCCTGGTTGTTTTTCTAATAATATTTTTCAAACTGTTCGGTGCTCTCTGTATTTTGGGACTGGAGGAAAAAGAAATGAATAAGTGTTTCAGTAGTGAGAGAAACAAAGTACAAAAATACAAAATGACTTTTGTTGTCTTTTATTCTTTATCCCTTTCTGTCTCCATACACTACAGACAGCTGTAAGTTGCTTCATTATTTCAGGCACTGTGGTCCCAAGCCTACAATGATCTGGGGATATTGTTCTGTTAGGAGGGAACTCTTTCCACCCTCTCCCCTGCCCTTAATCTTGCTATGGATAGACTGCCTACTTTCTGATTTTTAGGTTTAGTGTCCTTTTTTAGGTTTTAGGTTTAGTGTCCATTTTGGATAGCCTTTGCTACATCTGAAATACTGGTGAAATACAAATAACAAAACCAATACAAAATACTATACAGTTGAAAATGCATGCCTTTTGTTTTGAAATGTAGACTCGGGCCTTACTAGCGTTTCAGGCTTGGTATGTCTGCAGATTCGGTCTAAACCTGCATCTGTACAAGTTAAGTTAAATTGTTTTACTCTTTCTCTCTCACTGGTAATAAGTAGTTGAAATAGTGTCCTTAATCATGAGAGCTGCTCAGCATCTTCAGCTTCTACCAACCAAAACTGTGTGGTTTATAAGTCCTCGTTGAAAACCTGATTTACAGCCTTGCATGCAATCTTTCATAGTAAATTTTAATATGTTATTTAGATGTCTTTTATACTGGTTACTGATTAACTATTCTTTAGACTGCTAATTTGACTCTGCCCTCTCTTTTAAAATCTTTTCAGCTTCTCGGGCATTTAATGATTGTTGGCAAGAAGTGTGCTGCTGATTTGGGCCTGACCAAGGGATTCCGAATGGTTGTGAATGAAGGGCCAGAGGGTGGGCAGTCTGTCTATCATGTTCATCTCCACGTTCTTGGTGGACGTCAGTTGGGCTGGCCTCCTGGCTAAGAATTGGATGGAAAGAAAATCACCGCTCCATGTAGACTTGCCACACAACCCAGGAACCCAGCCACTGTTAACATGTTCTTTTTTTGTGGGTGGCAATAAAATCTATGAACAGTATTCTCATAATAAAGACCTAGCATCACCCCTGTATCTCATTTTCTTGATATTTTAAACTATTGACATTGGTGTCTTTTCTGACTAAGCATGTGGAATTACTTAAATTTCAGTCATTAGCATGCGGCCCTATTGGTAGTGGTTTGTATAAGATGGGGCTGTAAGAAAAAAAAAACCCTTGTTTTAGTAAATCTAGTCTTGAATTTTGCGTCAAGGTAACTTGAGTTTTCCAAACACTCAGAGATATAAGTACATAGGAAACATTGTACTAAACACTGACACAAACCTTTATGATGTGTACGAGGTAAGGAAACTGGGGATTCCAAGGTCTTGTGGTACGTGCATAGTCTTGTTTTTAAAGACCTTTTTTAGGTGTGCCATATGCTGCTAACCTCCCTGCATAGGGGGTTGTGTTTGATATCTGTTTTGCTAACTTTCCTGGTGGAAAAAGAATGAAACAAAGCAAAATGGCAAAATAAAGTTTAAGCTCTGGACCATATTTTTGATGGATGATGGCTAAAGTTGGGTATGCCTGTGTGTTTTTGGAGGAAGTGAAAGCTTCAGTAGAAAAATGTCAGCTTTTTTTCTTTATGAAGTGCCTTAGGCATTAATTCTGTTCTTAGCAATTACTTGGTAAATTGAGCAGCATGTATTATAAGTATATACTTTTGAACAGGAATGTTGTCAGGAAAGTTGTTGTATGCTTCTATGAATAATGACTCCATTTATATTACATTTCAGAGTACTACTTATGTATTCATTAAAGCTTTCAGAATAGCTCTAAGATGAAGATCTTTTTGATAAGTTAGGCAAGGGCCTTCAAAAGTGTATCCAGACACACAAGGGTAAAAATGAAATCATTCTACTAATGTTAAACCATGAGATATTAAGGGTTGTAATATTCTTCAGTGAGCATGGGTAAGAAGCTGGCTGTGTGTGTCCCCATTGTCGGTTGACTGCATTTTTTTTTGACCCATCACAGATCATAACAATTTTACAAAGAAAACCCACCCCCTACATTATTTTTGTAGTTTGCTTGACAGAAATACAATTTTGTTCTTTGACACTTCTTAATGGAAAATTTGTGCTTTTTCTGTATAGTATTTGGCTTTTTTGCAATTTTTGACCAATATTTGACCAGCTAACTGACCAAACTTTATTTGACTGGTCAAATATCCAACCTATCCTTATGTTTCAAATCTTTACTGTTGCTCAGTAGGGTGCCTTGAGTACTGAAACAAACACAGCTTGTGTTAAATCTGTCTCTAATTTAGCTTCTGACATGCCCCACTAATTACCCTTTTTTATTTTGGTCTAGCTATTTGTTTGTCACAGACACTGGCATAAAAACTCTGACTGGTGTATGTAATACTTCAGCTGGTGTGCAGATTTGCCTGTTTCATAATAAGACAGCTGTCCAATTTTAAGCATGAATGTCTCTTGTCTCGTATCCAGTGCCAAACACTCACACTTTCCAAAGGTGGTGTTTTTAAACCAATTAAACATGATTTGAAAAAGGTGTTTGTATATTTGGGGGTACCTTAATCATAAAGCTTCCCTAGAGCAGTAGTTCTCAAACTCTTTTTTTTTTTTGCAGACCACTTGAAAACTGCTGAGGGTCTCGGTGGACCACTAATAAAAGAACTCCTTGTACCACTATAGTTAAACCATGCTGCCAAATGACAGGCTACACAAGCGCCTGGGTTTTCAGGTGTGTAGCTATGTTGCTAAAGCTTTGTAGCGTAGTCCTGGCCTGTGCCATAAATGGGAGGGGATTGGGAAGTACCACCCCCTTCCCATAATGGGCATGTGCAAATTGACGAGGACTACATTGAAGCTAACTGATATGTTCATATTAAATATGAATGGTTGGACTAATGTTCCATTTTGGCAGTTCCCTCCTGCTCTCACAAATTTCTTATTTATATCTTGTAGTCTTTCTGCTAGTCACACTCTGTACTTGCAAGTAATACAATTGCTTAATTGTTTGTGAAAGAAGAGATCCCAGCTGTGCTCTGCAATCACCATTTAACTTTTCATGTTACTATCTCTCAATTTCATTCAGAGCTATTGCTCCTGCTAGGACAATCATCCCATTTTTGGAGATTCAGCATAAATGGGTAGTGGCAGCAAGTGACAAGGGATCATTTAGCTAGAGAATGCTGCCAAGTTTTTTAAATCAACTCTAAATTCTTCCTCAAATGTCCTTTCTTTGTACTCTTTATCCTAACTGTGATAATCCCAGTTTCCTCAAATGAAGAGAGTGACTTCACAATGTCTCCTCATTCCTGTTTGGGTATGCACCTGCATCTTTGAATAAGGATGAAACACTAAGTGGAGAATGAAAGTTTATGCCAAAGCAAGCTGGTGTGGTTTTTTTGTTTTTTGTTTATTTTTTTGTTGGGGGGGGGGTGGTCTCTTTTTTAATTCCCCTTGTCCTGACCTGCATTTACAAAAGCATCAGTACTCCTCTGACGAAAGAAAGGAATGGAGGAAAAAATGCATGTTTTTTCACGACATGGTCATGTGACTACATCTTGTGGAAGCATACCAGAAGCAGCTTTTTGGGGTACTGAGCAGTGATAAGTAGCAGAGATTGTACAAGCCTACAATCAAGAGTCTTGTTAAGTTTGACTTAAGTCTGTACTGCTGCTATTGACGTCAGCTAGTTAGAGTAAAGCTAGCTCAAATGCCTCTGCCTGTGCTGCAACCTCACCTCTAATTGCCAAATAGATATATCCAGACCTCTGATACAGCTGGTTTTGCTGCTGAATTTTATCTGCTCTGAAATAAACCTGCTTTCCCTCTACCTTCCTATCTTTTTGCCTTCCTGTGCATTAAGTGACTCCTATGCCCATCTTTACGTTCTTCACTCGATTCTGAATCACAGTGATGAAGGTCCTGCTTAGATGTGTCCACATGACCTCTGGTTTGAGCCTAGGAGGAGTACCGCTGCCTTCTTGCTTTCTTTCACAAACACTTAATCTTGGAAACAAGGCAATGGAGTGGTTCTAGGCATGCATTTAACATGCACTGTTTCTTGATTTATTTTTGGGAGCTGGCATACTATGAGTAGGAGTGAATGGGCAAGGCTGTGCTTTACAGGTTCCCAGGCTTGGCCTGGAAGCAGTATAGACAGAACTAACTCAAGGCAGGACTGGTTGGTAAAAGCTGGCCTTTGCCTTACACATCTGACAATGCAAGATATAGATTGGATTGGAATGGAGGCAGCTGGAATTGGGTGGGATGCCTGGCTAGGTAGGGGTGAAACTGGCACTAGAAAAAACAAACAGTGGTTTGGTTCCATCTAGTATAAAAAAACCCTAGTGGAACTGTAAGTGACTTTTAGCCAACTTCTTTTGGCCTGTCTTTCTTGCATCTGCTAAACTCTTCTCATCTATGGCATTTTGTCACCTGCTCTATTCCTTTGCCTCTTTTACCCAAACTCTAGATAAGCAAATTCTATGCTCCCTTACTGTTAAGCAGTCAAGGGTCTACTAGAGTCTACATTGGTTGCTCCTTAGCTTTTCTTCTTTCCCCCTAGCTTGTGGGATCTATAAAGCAGATTAGGTGAAGAAGGGTTGTGGTACTCTACCAGAGACTATGATCTCATGGTATTAAACTGCAACTTCACTCGCAGAAAATTTGGAGGTTTAGCATGGTCGTTTTTTTTTTTTTTTTTTTTTTTTTTAAATTCCTCAGTCAGCAGTTCAGTAGTTTCAAATGTTGGCATTAGGCATTACCAGCCCAGGATAAATGTTGGAATTCACACTTCCCACAGCAATTAAGGTCCCTGAAGCTCTCGGTTAAAGTTGGCTCATGTTTTCAAGGTTATCTGTGCTTTAAGTGAATTTAGTACTTGGGAAATGAGATGGATTACCAGGCCTGGAGAGTAATGCTGAGAACAAGTACACAATGAGCAGTGAAGCTTTTTTTCTTATGCTACCTTTCTGATGTGCCTTGATTTCTTTTAGCCTTTGGCAAATTTAAAATTATATGGATCAGACCCCTGCCCATTACAAACTGCACTAAATTGACAAGTCCATTTCACAGAAGCCACACAATAGCTAACTAGATAGTAACTGAATTTAAGTTAGAGTTCTTCACCTGTGGGAGTTTCACAGTCCTGCATACTCACCTGCATCCCATTCCTACATGGTACCAGTGCCACTAATAGCTTTTTATCCCCACCTGGGATAGTTTGAGTGGGTATTGGAGAAAGATGACCAGGAAGATGATGATTAAAACAAAAAAGAACCAGCAGCAGGGTGTTAGATTAGATGATTTCCAACAGTGCTTTTTAGCCCTACTTTTCTACGATTCTGTAGTCTTGAAATGCAGAGACTAGAGCAGCAACATCCTGATCTGGTAAGTGAGATTAAACATTTATCCTGTTTTTATCCTTGGTTTTAATGGAGTAATAGTCCAGTTCTTTTTGTGTCAAGGAGAGATTAGACTGAGCCAGTCTCTTAAAGTAAAGCTCTTGCTTTAAAATACTTGTACAAAAAACAATTGCAGATAATAAGCAACTGATTGATTACCTGTCAGATGTAGTGCCCTAGTTTGAATATCTACCAGAGTGGTTGTCAACTGGGAGTATGTGTACCCCTAGTGGTACTTAAAAAGTTCATAGGGGGTAGGTAGAATGAATGAGAAAAAATTAAAGTGCACTGATACATTGGTCCCATATTGAATTGGCACAGATATAAGGAAAATTGACTCAATCAGCTTTTTTTGGCCGATGTGGCTGATAAATGCCATGTTCATGTGTGCAGCTGCAGTACAACACACAGACAGTGAGGAGTGCAGCCTGGCAGTGTGGAGAGCAGCTGGGTCTGGCTGGTAAGTCTGTGAGGGAAGGAGCTGGGGCAGGGGCTGCCCATCCAGGATGGGGCATGGGACAGCTGTGCGTGGGGTGGGGGAGGCATCTCCCACTGGTATATTCACCCCCAGGAGGGCATGTGGGGTGTGTGCCCCCAGATCTGCACGTGGGGTGAGGACAGGCTGCTGCTGGGGCTGGGGCAGTGCTGAGCTCT